TTATCTGCAAGAAGCCAATTGCTTTACTAAATGCTTTGAACTGAGAATAAATATATAAAATTACAAGGCTAATTGCACATCTCATGCATCTGAGAAGCTGATAAGCAATGCGTTTTCCACGGCAGACACCAACTGACCAAAGCATTAACTCACATTACTGTAATCCACATTGCTAAAAAAGTATCTCTTTGCAAATCGTTCTTCAAACGCTAAATACTGAGTTCAAAAAAAACCTTACTTACACCTAATCTCTTATTAATTAATTCCAAGGAAATTGCAGGTGGCAGACAGGGTCTTTGTGCCACTTTTAATTCAGGGCAGTGTATTAATTACAGTACGATGAAATAGCCATGCAACAGTCTTTCCCTCTGCAGCTCCACACAACTAGAAGTCATGGTATTTTCCACAGTTCAGCAACAGAAAGGACACTGTGGAGCAGCAATATGATGCTGCGGCAGTTTAAGAATGTAGTGCTCCACCTTGTTTTTCCTTAAAAAACAAAACACCAACCCAAAAAAAACACACTAAAAATATCTGAACAAGGAAATAAAAGACAGTAACATAAGTTCAGTTACTTACATCACAGAAGTGGATTTCTTAAATAATGCTGCAATTCTTTCATTTCTGAACTCGGTAAGAAAGCTCCCCTAAAAATTTTTTTTTTTTTTTTTTTTTTTTTTTTAATTGAAGGAGTTAATACGCAACTTTCTCTAAGAAACTGATACAGCATTTCCAAGAACTATATTGGCATTTCCCTGAGCTTAGCAATAGTACAATGCTGGGAAATTTTCCAGCACAATTCAAGATGAAAGAGATTCATCATGCAATTTTCTTTAAACACGCATTCATATTACTACCACCATCATATATATTGTCAGCATATAAAGGAGGGATGTTTCTAGGTAACGATACTAACAACAGCTGCAGTGTAGAACAAAAATTTAACCATCATGACTTTAGGCAAAAGTGTAGCTGCAGTTTAGGCGCAGAAGTTACATGTAAATTAGGGAAAAGCCTTGAAAATTAATAAACCAAGATACTTACACAGCAAATGTCAGAAAAGGTAAGCTTAGAACATCAATTCCCTTAAAGTCACGTAGAAAGCATTTGCTGTTACCTAATTTTACTTAATAAGTTCTTATAGACAGTCAGCCACATAATTATTAAGATACAAACAAACCAAATGCACAAGGGAAAAAAATAAGCTTACTGGGGAAGTAGCTCGTGCTAGGTTTCTGCCCACTGAGAGCATAGCTGTAGGTATTTGCTTCAGGCAGAGAGCACTGAAACAGGACACACTGCAAATACTACAGTGTGCCCCAGCTCCACAGACTTCAAATGGAATAAGACAGGTATGAATGAGTAACAGTCAAAATATGAATACAATGAACACACATTACAAGAATTATCGGATGATCTTATGAGAGAAATGACTAAGATTTCTCAGAATATCAATACATTTTTCACCTCTCACCTTACTGTGATTTGGGGCAAGATGCCATCTTGCTCTTAAAAAATCTGGGAGGGGGGAGAAGAAGAAAAGTCAGCACATGCAGCTAACAGTAAATTCTTACTAGCAACACAGTGCTTCAGCGCAGTATGGAATATAAGTAACTATAAATACAAACCTCACTTGTAGCCAACAGGAAACAATTCTCATGTTGTTTTAAACAGGTATTTCAGAAAACACTGGTAAAGGTGGGCTTTTTATACTGCTCTTACAAACAGCATTTCTTCTAGTAAGTGAGAGCTTTCTCATTGTTCTCCTTCCACTATTTTACTGTACTTCTGGAAAGTGATATGGTCAGGAATAGAAGAACAGACAGTTTAGAAAAGCCAAAGCAAGGGAAGAAAGATATATTCAGTGGAAGATTCTGCAAAGAATCAGATCCTAAGCTCCATCAGCTGTTATAGGACAAATTATTACTGAGGGTGGTGGAAAGAAAAATGTGTGGATACATCATCTGGAAGACATGCAGAAATGTTAAGTGCCAGGCTCTAGACAAAAGAATAGAAAGAAAAAAATCATAAGGGCTGAGCACTAATTCAAATTAGCCAAATAAGGAAGTATAATGTAATAAATGAATGATGTAAAATATAATTTAATTTACCAACATACAAACCCCAGAACATTCAGGGTCACACATGATACTCATAATCTGCTAGTTTAATATGTTTCAACTTCCTTAAGCACGTCTTGTCTAAGGACAACTCAAGACAACACTTACAGAACTAAGCTACAGCACAAAACTAAGATAATATTTATCAAATAATTTTATCAGGTAATAGAAAACTTCATCTCTGCCAAAAGTTATTTATTGCCACTTTTTTTTTTTCTTACTTTAAACCATATAAAGCAGCTTTAAGTGTTACAAGCTTGACTAGTATTATGAAATACTTAAAACACTACATGACTTAATCATGAGATGACAATAATTGAAACATTTTTTTTTTGGCACAAATTCTCATTATGCAAAGTTTACACAGAAATGGATTACAAACAACACTGTGTTTGAAAATTAACAATCTGTGACCCTTCAAATTTTGGCCCTTGACCACAGGCATTTTGAAAACAGGGAATAAACTTCCCTAAACACTACATTTATCTACGAACTGCTCTCCCAGTTATTAACTGTGCTATATAGTATTTTTCTCTTCAGGTTATAAAACAGATGTCAGTTAGACATTGTGGGAGTTAACAAGACTGCCTCCTTGTCTTCTACATGTTATTTGAAACTATATTGGCAACTTAAACTTTATCCCACAAAAGCAGCACCGAATCTCAAGCAAGACGTTCAGAGGAAAAGAGTGAATGAGAAAAATGTCTTTCTCTGTCATAGAAACTCACACATGAAGCATGACCCAAAAGGTCTTCGGAGAAAGAAAGGTATGGATGTTAACCTGCCTACAGGGTATTCGCAACCTTTTAACCTTTGGAAGCGGCCTGAAGTTACAGAACTCTTCCGGGGAATATTAAAAATAAGCCCCAAGAGCTACTACCAGCCAACACTCCACAGACGTACGGCAAAGCGAGAAGTGACCCAAGACTAAAACCCGTCAGGGGGACGAAAGAGCTACGGGGAGAGCGAGGCTCTCGCCCGGCAGATAACGCCTCCACAGCCCAAGACCTCACTCCAGGCCCCCACCGCGCTCCGCGGGAGTCGCCTCGGCGCTGTCCCTGCGCCCCGGAGCCCTGGGCCTATGCCCCGGCGGGCCCC